GGTTAGGATTGAAGAGCAAAGTATGAGATTAGGGTTTATCATGGTTCATGTTAACGAAGAAGAAAATTGAAGTTTATGGGCTTAAAACGAACATGAAAGAGAGATCAATTTTCTGTTGATATAGCCAAAGAGATTGAAAGGATGTGATAGAAGGAATAGCTTGGTTATGGAAGAGAAGGAGAACTGAAGGGAAAGCGAAATATCAGCTGAGACCAACCACTTTTCGATCTATTTTTCTGGCAGACCAGAACGAACCAGAAATCTATCTTGACACCGTTGCAAAGATAACGAAGTCAGCTTTCCAGAGGAAAAAACAGAACTCAATTCTAATGTGAAATCCGATAGTTATGGATGTTTCTCTCTAGCGAAGAAATTGATCAAGTTGGCAGAAATCTGCAACAGATGTTGAAACAGGAAAGATAATGTTGGAACATGGCCAAGAACAGAGGTAGATTCAAAAGAAAAAAAAGAAATTGGTTTTTCACAGAAGGAGAGTGTGATGTAGGCCTTGTTCCTTGATTTGCTTGAGAGGTTTTGAATGAATGTGTCAACCAAGACGGGGGAGATTAATGTGCCAATGCATCTCCAACAAATCCCAGTGAAGAGCTTGAAGAAGTGAATATTAAGAAAGTATTGATGCTACCACTGAGCGGGAGTCGATGCTGAATCTAGAGAGTTTGAAGATGAGCTTGGATGCACACATTCAATAAAAAAAGAGAGGTTTCGGAAGCAACATAATACAAGCTGCTGGAATACATACGAAACTGTTCCAACACGTGAAGAAAAGTGAGATTGGGCTCTTATTGAATTAGAAAGCCCAATAATGATAGAGGTTAAAAGCCCACATGACATGAAACGTGAGGGTTTCGTGGTGGTAGTATAAAAGGCAAGAGGCGTTGACAAAAAGAGTTACGCGCCTAGGGTTCCTTTGTGAGATGCACACATGTGTGTGTGGCGTCGTCCCACCATGTTGATGGTGGTTGTCTATAAAGATTGCAGTCATTGAGAAGACGGTGTTTGATGTGCAGGGTTTTAATGATGCAATACGAGTTTTAAATTTATAACCCTAGGAAACTGCAAGTGCACAGTAAAGACAATTGTAGTA